TTCCCGAGACTGCTCATGCTACAAGCGTGACAAGAAGAACAACAAAACAAAACAAAAAACACCACCACAAAAAACATTTCACTCACCAAAGAATTGATGTAGTTCTTGCTGCAATTTGTCGATCGCTTCAAGAGCAGAACCAGCAGCGTATCAGAGTGACCTTGAACATACAAGGTCAGCTCCTCCAGACCGTTGCTGGTCGCGTCCCACTTGGGCGAGCGTTGGGGCGGGGGTGAGGCGGCGGTGGTCGTGGCGGTACGAGCTGGCTCAGACGACGACAGATTTCCTCCCACACTGAACTGAGCAGTCTTTGACCTCTCCGCACCCTGTGACCTCTGACCCCCCTCTTGCTCCGACCCCGAGCCCGGGAAGAGAAATTTCTGACCCACCTTCGGATCTTGTTGTTCCGCCACGGGCGACAGACGGCCGTGCTCCGAAAACGGGGACATGATCCCGCCCTCAGAGTTCTCGCTATCCAGGAACTCAAACGTCAAGCGGTCTTTACTGGGCGGCCCGTCGTTGCCTCCTTTGGTGAGGGAGAGCTGTGAACCATCGAGGTCCTCCAGCTTCTGCTCCGAGTGGTTGGAGGAGTCCTCGCCGCTGTTGCTGCAGCGCTGCGTGTCGAGAGAGGCGTCGATCTCCTCTTTACTCTGCACGAGAGCTTTCCGAACATTGATCGCGTTCTCTTCACTCATGTGTCCCTCAAAAACGTTATTGTTTCCCGCATTCCTCTCCTGCCATCCTTCATGAGGTAAACTAGCCCAGCAAACAGTTCCAGTCGATGTTTTTGTTACGTTATCAGCACCGTCGGTTTGAGCACCGCCACCACCAGCCGTTTTGTTCTCGCTCACAACAGGAGAGTCAGTCACACGTGGGGACGCATCAAGCGGAACATTTTCCAAACCGGAATCTTTGCCTGCAACGTCAATGACAGGAGAATCTGTGGACTGATTCTGTCCTGTTGAACTGAGGTTTTGTGTGTCGGCCCCACCCACCTGACTGTGATCTCCACTACCATCAGTAGAGTTGAGCTGTTTCCTCACCTGTGGGCGAGTATCAGCATCAGCATCAGGAGAGGTTGTTCGTGGAATCTCAACCGCTGTGACCTCATTATCAACGACAGAGACAGAATCCGATTCCGCACTCGCTTGACTTTCATCCTCTTGCTTTTTCTCATTGAGGATTTTTTCACCAGTCGTTTCAATAGATTTGAATTGATCTTTTCCCGTGAAAGAATTGCAAACACTAGAACTCTCAGCACTAGTATTGTCATTAAGTACCGCCGGGTTACAGTTACTACGAGACGCTGAGTCATCACTCTGAGGAAGTACAGCTGGGTCTACAGACGACCCAGATTGAGCAGCGTCTTCATCATCATGGCCGCCCGACCCACCACCGAGCACGTCATTCACCACCGGAAGTCCGTTAACCTTATTATCTGTGAGTGATTCCCCTTGGTGTCCGTTGCTACTACACTCATTACGATCTTTGGGCGCCTTCGTCATTTGTTCTTCCCCACCTTTCCCATGTGCATTCTCAATGTTCTCTTTCACATTTTCAGATTCTAGAGTAGGAAAAAGGGTGGAGTTTTCAGATGAAGAGGAAGAAATGTGATTTACTTGCTGTGTGTTACAGGAATCATTCGAGGGCGTAGGAGGTTGCTTTGTATTTCCCCCATCTTGCCTCTGATCATCCGCATCGTCAAAGTCAGTTTTCAAATCTCCTCCGTCTGGAATTTCCTTGTTGCCCACGTTATTATCAGGTCTCAGATCCCCAACAGCATCACGATCTTCACCATCGCGAGCAGACACAGGATCATGAGAAGACCTTAGCACTTGTCCTTTCTCTGTGCATGCTCCAGCCTCCTCACCTGAAATCACAGGAATATCAACCACCGATTTGTCCGCAGAAAAACTGTCTCGAGTATTTCCCAGGCCAGGACTGAGCCCCGCGGGTTTGTTCTGATTGGCTGCAGTGTCTCCATCAGCGTGCACCTCTACACTGACCGTTAGGTTGGTCAAATGCGGAGTGACGGTGTCCGAGCTAGACGTGAACGCGTCTTGTTTCGTCGCCGGCGCGGAGCCAGGCTGATGATGTGAGGTGTGTCCGCTGACCCGACACTGCACCTCTTTGATGTCGGCCAGCTTCACGTTGTTGTGGTGGCCATCTAGCTGGATATCCTGCAGCGTGTCGAGAAACACGTCTGAGTCTGTGCCTGACGTGATGGCTGCAGACGTCGGAGACTTCATCCTCAGCCCGCCCCTGCTCGGTTTGTCCCTCGGCTCTGAGCTTGTACCGGCAGCCGAGTCGGAGAACAAGTAATTGGGATTCGAGTTTTTCAACAGTTGTGAACTAAATGGGGAGGACTTTTCTGCTGCAGATGTCAAAGGAGTTTTCCTGAGGTCTTCCTCGACGCTGTCTTGAGAGAGGGAGGAGGCGGACCTCCCAAACTGCTTTGACCGACGTTGTCCAAGGCTGTCCCTCTCCTCTTTAGGGAGGAAGACATAGAGGAGCCGCACCCCGCCGGGCAGTTCTAGGACTGCTGTCAGGTCATCCACAGCGAGGGATTGCGGAGGAGGGAGGGTGGTGGGAGGGGAGTGGGGGAGAGCGGAAGGGGTGGAGGGAAGAGGAGAGGGGAAGGGGAGGGGGAGGGGGGAGAGGAGAGGGAAGGGGAGGGGGGAAGGAGAGGAGGGAGGGGGGTTATAAGGCAAGATGGTTTGAGAGGAAAAGAGAGAAAATTGGGGGGGGGGGGGTTGGAGGTGGTGGTGTGGCAGAAAATCAAGAAAAGATTATCATAAAGTACATGCAAGTGTTCTTCTGAGGACAATAAAAAAAAGTAACTTTATGAGCACATTTTAAAAGTAAGAAATATCCTGTCCAAGGTCTCAAGGTCTCAAATTCAAAAGTCATAGGTTCATCTCTTCACTGTATATTGAAGAAAGTTGTGATTTAAAGACTTAGGTGACACTCTTAGCAAAGGTTTGCCCTGCCTACAAGCTAGGCTTTTCTTTAGATGCTTAGGGTGAAGTTTGTGAGTCGGGACGGGTGGGGGGTGACTTGTCTACTGGGTTAACTTCAAAATTGGAATGTTTTTTTAGATTAAGTTAGTGTTTTGCGGCACTTGCAGCACAATAAGGTCATATAAGTGCCACAGACTAGAGGTGTTGCAAGAGAGTAACAAACACAATAAGGTCATATAAGTGCCACAGACTAGAGGTGTTGCAAGAGAGTAACAAACACAATAAGGTCATATAAGTGCCACAGATTAGAGGTGTTGCAAGAGAGTAACAAACACAATAAGGTCATATAAGTGCCACAGATTAGAGGTGTTGCAAGAGAGTAACAAACACAATAAGGTCATATAAGTGCCACAGATTAGAGGTGTTGCAAGAGAGTAACAAACAGAAAAAAAAGGAGGAGAGATCAGGAAAATAGATGTTTGATAGGAAAGAAGGAGCAAAATTGGAATGTATCTCAACTCAGTACTTTCATTTTAGTTATAACCAGACAAAGCCAACAGATGATTAACGATCAGCGTAAACTCAAAAACTATAACATCACTGTCCTTGTAATATCATTTTCGTTAGCACTTGACGAACACCACAGAAAATAACCGATCAGCGCAAACTCAACAACTATAATAATGTGGAATCAGTAAACACATTGCCATACTCACAGGAGTTCGCTCGGACACAGGGGAACTGAAACAAAGTTTAGAACATGGGAGGTCATGGGAGGTCACAGGAGGTCATGGGAGGTGACAGGAGGTCATAAACACATAACAGGAGTTTCAAATTAATAAACTGTTTTCAACCAAGAGATGGGAAATTTTAAAAAATCCCAACAGTGTAAATTTTATTTTTATTAATATTAATAATAATAATAATGATAATAATAATAATAATAATAATAATAATAATAATAATAATAATAATAACAATAATAATAATAAATAGCATTTGCATGGCGCATAACCCCGTTATAGTTATATTAACTAGTAATAGGTCCTTTCAACACTGACATAATGAGCTATGAACAAGAACTGGAAGGAAGACAGAAGAGCAATTAAGAAAGATTGTACTGTGATTTATAACAGAAGTGAAAGGTGAAGATACAATTCGAGCACTGCTAAGTGACAAATAATTAAAACCAATATTGTTTGCTTGAGTGAACTTCTAAGCTCCTTAAAAATAAAGAATAACATGAACATTTGAACATAAGATGGGGAAAAGAAAGTAGAAAGGGAGGAGAGAGAGAGAGAGAGAGAGAGAGAGAGAGAGAGAGAGAGAGAGAGAGAGAGAGAGAGAGAGAGAGAGAGAGAGAGAGAGAGAGAGAGAGAGAGAGAGAGAGAGAGAGAGAGAGAGAGAAGGAGAGAGAGACAGAAATAGAGAGAGAGAGAGAGAGAGAGAGAGAAACTCAGAAAGAGAGAGAGAGAGAGAGAGAGAGAGAGAGAGAGAGAGAGACAGACAGAGAAAGAGGGAGGGAGAGAGAGAGAGAGAAGGAGAGAGAAGAGATAACTGACCTGGTTATGGGACATGAGAAACAGAAGCTTCCGGGTCAAACTGTTGCTGAGCTGGGAACACAGGACCCTGCACCAGAGATGGAGTCATTGTGGAAAGGTCAAGGCCATGCAAACACAAAAGAACGAATTGCGTCTTGTCTTATATATATATATATATATATATATATATATATATATATATATATATATATATTGTAACGGTGACAATTCTCATACCCATGGAGTTTAGATCTACCCTACGCTGACCTAACACCTTTTTCTTATTCGCAGCAGTTTTGAGAAATCAATTAATCAAATATGAATAAACCAACAAGCTCTTATCACAATCTGCAAAAGAAACACAGTACCTGTATACTGTTTTATCTACACACACACACACTCACACACATACAAACACACACTCTCTCACACACACACACACTCACACACACACACACACACACACACACACACTAACTCACACACACACACACACACAAAAGGGGGGGGAGGAGGAGAGGGATAACATATGTTGGTTTTTAAGGTATTAAATGCATAGTTCTGTTATCCTTTCTTTCCCCAACCCTCTGATGACCTGTTTCTGCTGAACAACGCTCCGGCGATGACACCTTTGTGTCGCAAACTTCGCTGCAGGATGTGAGAGGCATGGAGAAACAGGCCGCCCTGACTCTGTCGACAAAGACAAGAAGAAAAGTTAGAGAGTAAATGGTGGACGCAGAAAGAGAGTTGGACATTGAAATTGAAAAACAAAAAAAATAAAACAAAACCCAAAACCCTCAACTAGTGCAGTTGGACATTCAAACATTCAAATGGAAATTTTGAAAACAACAAAGCAAAACAAAAAACAACAAACCTTACCTTGTGCAGTTTGAAATCTAAATTTAAAAAACAACAAAGCTCACCTGGTGTAGTAGGACATTCAAACTGAAATTTAAAAACAAAAACAAAAACAAAAAACCCTCACCTTGTGCAGTTCAACATTGAAATTGAAATTTTTTTTAAAACCAAACAAAAAAACCCAAAAAAATCCTCCTCTCACCTAGTGCAGCTGTATATTGAAATTGAAATTAAAATATAATAGTGCAGTTGAACAGTACAACTGAAAAAAAATATAAACAACCCTCACCTTGTACAGTTGAACATCAAAATTTAAAAAACAACCAAACATTACAACCAAAAAACCTCCTCTCACCTTGTGCAGCTGTACATAAGGCAGGATCTGGAAGGCCTGGGAGAGAATGTCTCCCCTGAGCTGACACAGCGGCACGTACATGTCCCACACCTGGTTCAGCTCACGCAGGAAGTGATCCGAGGACACACGCTGTGGGGAACGAGGAGGGGGAGGAGGAGGGGGGGGGGGGGATAATGTTAACACGAAAAGGGGAGGAGGAGGATTAATGTAAACAGGAAAAGGGGGAGGAGGAGGAGGGGGGGGAGATAATTTAAATAGGAAAAAGAGAGAGGGGGGGGGATAGTGTTAGCAGGAAAAGGGGAGGAGGAGGAGGAGGTGGAAAACTATTAACACAAAAAGGAGAAGTGAAGGACGAAGAAAAAGGTTAACAGGAGAGGAGGGGGGGGGGTGGAGGAAGGATAACGTTAACAAAAAAGGAGAGGAGGAGGAATAAAATTCATAAGTAAAGAAGAGGAGGAGGAATAGAGTGAATTGGGAAAATGGGAGGAGGAAGAATAGAGATCATATGAAAAAGACGAGGATGAGGAGAAAGTGTTGCAGTTTCTGGCCAGTCTCTGGAAAATGACAAACTCAGAAACTGGCTTTGAGAGCTAACATTTTAAGAGATTCCAAATTGCCGTGGAGACAAGACACACCCACTGACCTCCTTCAGCGCCAGCAGACTGCCCTGGTAGAAGATGAAGGTGGACCAGACGTACTGCATGTGAGACACCAGGAACTTGTCCGGGATGTCAGGGCTACCAGCCAAGCCCTGTAATAGATAGATAGATAGATAGACAGATAGATAGATGGATAGATAGACGGAACAATGGATGGATGGGTGGGTGGGTGGATGGATAGATGGACAGATACATAGATGGATAGATACATATAGCATTTGTATAGCGCAAATCCCCTCTCAACAGCAAGCTCTATGCACTTCACAATCTATTCTATGATACCTATATATCTATAATACCACAGCACAACAAGTTATACACGTGATCAAACAGGCAGTCCATAGCAGCAACATTTTCTTCATCTCTGCTAACTCTGTACCTAACTTGGAATAATAAAAAGAACAGTTTATGCAAAAAGCAACGACACAGGCACTAAAGAAACAAAGACTAAGAAGAAGTAAAATGGACTCTGTGTTAGTGTGTCATTGCTTAAAAACTCCTCAGGAAGCTGAAAATGTTTCAGAATAGTATACAGAGAAGTCTGACAACGTTTAGCCTACATTCAAGTAAGGAAATGCACTATATCAATGCAATCTACGACCATTCTTCCTATTTTTAGTTACCACTTCGTCTCATCCCCTCCAACTATCTTTGCTTCTCTCCATTCATCAAGCTATTCCTCAATCTACATCTAAATACCTTTCTCCCCCCCCACTTCCTTTACATTTGAGACAAGTCTAGTTCTGTCAAAGCCTATCAACACACTTCATCACTTCTAGCATCCACACCAAATCAGAGTCAAAGCGATCAGATCAAAACATGATTTTTTAAAACCTCAAATGTATTAACAATTCAATATCTGTTGCACAGTTCTCCCATTCAGAAGACAAGTGTGTAATAGCAATAAAAAAGCTATCTAAGAGGAGAAATTTGATGGATGGGTGTTGAGCAGAGAGGGAAGTGAAATAACACATGAACGAATTAGAAACTGTACACCATTTATTTTGATTTAATTCCAAGTAATATGTGAGCTGAACAACCTTTTTTCTAAAGAAACCTGTAAAAAGACGCCGTTATGAGAAGATGACAAAAGGCCTATAGTCAAACTTCCGTAATTAGATTTTTTACATTTAAAATATACTTTAAAAAAACAATAAGGTGCTTCGAGGAAAATAAAAGCAAGGAGTCTCACGATAACAAAGTCCTCATGTTGCAGAAGAGCAAAATTGTGTCCAGCCAACTTCACCAGGCTAGGCATGCACTGAGGCAAAAACTCCGTGCAGAAGTCGGCCAGTCCGATGAGGCCTCCCACCAAGGCAATCTGAACATCTACGTCAACCTGTGGGAGAAAAGCGGAACTATTTCAAAAGTTGGATCTTATTTCTTAGATACAGGAAAATCCATCACATGATGAACCTGTTGTACTCAGGTGAAGAGGCATTAAAGAAAAATCTTAAAACAAATAACAGGAGTAAAAAATTAAATAGACTCACAAATAAAAAGGGAAACCTTAAAAGTGAAAGCCTTTTAACCGGAATATAATTTAGACCAACTGTGTAAAAAAAAAAAAGCTCAAAAGTAGAAAACAAATACAATCTGAAGGTCAGCGATGCAATGAACGCACAGACAAAATCTATCCCTACAACCGTGAAACAAGCATATTATGAAATGACATCAGTCCTCGTGTTACGTCTTGTAACTAGTAAAACCTACTTTGTACGCACTTCCAATATAAGAATACTGACGACGTAAAAACTTTACACCTGAAAACTATCACTAACTACATATATAATCCTTGGCAAACATTTTCCTGAGACTTCACTTATACTTGTCCTTCATTAAAAATTCAAAGGTTTTTTTGTGCTATTTTTCCGGAATTCAATAAAAGAAAAACAAGTCTGAAAACAACAAAAAGGTTAAGGTGCGCTCATTAAGTAGGGCTGGATTCTGCTCGGTTAATCGAAGGCTTGCAAAGCAGCGGACGTCTTGCGCTAGAGTCTTGCGAGCAGACTTGTGGTTTGATTTGCCTCCCGCTTGCTACCGGAGGGAACTGAGTTGTGACTCGCGGACAGTCCTGCTGTAGCCTACTGTGTCGTGACGTCGCGAACTCTTGTGGCAGTGGGCTCAGTACATATTATAGATTCTCTGGTTATTTGCGTTGAGAGGCTTGCACCAAAAGTGCAAGATCGGTTGGTTTTTTTTCATAGTTCGGTTGTAAAAAACAAAAAGCTCTATTCAATGCACTTTAAAATTAATATTGGATCGGCTATTCTTATGATGTTAAGGCCTGTTTATTTTTAATGTGCACGAGCCAAGCGCTTCATCGTCGCACGCAAAAGACCTCAGTTCGATTCCCGTATGGGGAGAAATTTTCACTGAGAACCTCCGTCTTTCTGCTGGGGCGTTGTTCCCTCTCAGCCCAGGTGGCCGTGACATTGGGTTGAAGTAGGCCTAGCCCGTCCCCTAAATGTTCTGTATTATGTCACTGTGAGTGTAACACATCTACAAAATAGGTTACATACATACGAAACAAAAGCCAATCACAACGACCCCTGGAGTTTTCCATTTTAGGGTAATCTAAGTCAACTTATTCTTATTACTACCAGAAACCTAGGTCTCTGTTACTACAATACCACGCTCCCTCTCACTTATCCATTCGCTTAGCTGATCAACGGCGGGAAGCTAAAAATAACTTCAGCTCTCTACGCCTTGCACCAAAACAAGCCCAGCCTCTCCCTTCCTCCACGGTTCAAAGTTCACACAGCGAGCAGTACTGTCTTGCTGTTTGAACACATCAGACTGTCTTGTCGCCATCGAGACGGTCCTACACCATCAAGCCCGTGCCGCTCGCTCGGTGTATCGAGACAGTACAAGTCAGCAGGTCAGGTTTCGAGCTTGTCCTGGGGCAAATCTCTAAGCCTAGCGCAAGTCAGTACTGTGTGAATTGTTGGGCCTGTGGCAGCGGACGGGATTTGAGGCTTGCGCAGGCCTTCGATTAATCGAGTAAACTACAGCGCCACGTCGCGCAGTGACTCTGTGGGCGAGATCTCTCACTCTCACTCTCCCCCTCTCTCTTTTTCTGACGTAAGTGGCTTCGTAGATTGCAAGCAGGGTGGGGATGATGAGGGGGCCTGACACGAGTGGCTTCGCGGATTGCTAGTTGCTGTGGACTTGAAGTTTAGACTAGACCAAGGAGGTTACAGTTTGCGCTAGACTCAACTTATCATGCTGGTGATTTGATTTGATGATTTGACCTAGTGATTTGAGGCTTGTGACTTGAACTAGGGGCTTGTGAGCACGAGCGGGTTTGCTACCGGGGTACAGCCCTCTATCATTAAGCAATCAATTACAGTGAAATAAAATACAGTCTGATTTATCTAATTATCCAAGACAGCTACCCACTGTAGAAAAAAAAGTAGTTGGGTTCTAAAGACAAGTGACTGCAATGCACAGTGTCATTATTCATTATAGAGAAAATGTAAAGGGAGGAAGTGGTTGTTTGTGTACAGGTGATTGCCTTAGAGCAGGTTCAAAGGTGTTCTAATCTGAAACAAATGGAAAAGATGTTGAGACATCATATAATTTCTTCCAAAAATCCTTACCGAACGAGGATAGAAATACAGAATGGCATCCTTGGGATCGTCCTCTTCGGTTTTCATTTTATGGTCGTAGATGAAAAACATGTGGCCTTCATGTCTGTAACAATGGGAAAGAACATCACGATAATAAGAAGTAGTGAAAGTATTGAAGCTTAGATGGGGTAGACAGACAAACATTTCATAAGTCCAAGAGGTTTGGGGCTAGGCTAACTCTACAGGGGATATCTAGATTCTAGATTCTAGACCTAAACGCGGGCAGTAGGCCTATTGCATACCCACGCTAAGTCATTTTTGGCGGCCTTTGAGATTTATAAGTCTCTGACTCTGTATGTATGCAATACAGCCCGCGTTATACAGGGTGCCAATTGACACACTCGGTTCAGTTTGGTTTGGTAGGTGGGGCTAGCCAGATTGAGGGCACAAAGCGACCATCGTGGCACAAACTGATCGCCTGACACGCAACCTTAAAAACAAACACCTCATCAAGTCAAGCGCATTTGTTTTCAGGATGCGAATCTAGCGATCGGTGCACTTGGTACAATAATTTTCTATATCTACAGAGAGTAATAACAGTGCTATGCATGTTACTTTTCTTTACTCTTGGCTAGGACAGGCCTGCCAATACTGCCATCCTAGTAACAGTGTAATGTCAATTAGATCTAGATCTAGATCTATATATATTATATATCTAACTCCAGTTCTCGTCTCGATGAATGATGGAATAAAAGCAAATATACCATGATTATGATAGAGGAACAGAAAGATCGATAACATGGATAAATATAACCGCCTCACAAATAATTCCCCATAGACGCTGGCTACTTAATGAATGCCACCAAGTGCATATCACATGCCGACACAAGAGATCACAAGCCAATGTAATTATGATTAAAGGGGTCATAATTACAAACCGAAAGGAGGATTTCCTTTCCCTGGAAGCCATCTTATGTTTTTGACAGTCATGTGACTTTCACGTTTCGTCGCTGAAATCCGGTATGCTGGCGACGCTGCCTCCCCGATTATCAAACGCTCAAAAGTGATCTTTAGTCTCTTTAAATAACAGCTTTATTAATATATTATTTAAGAATTCACATTATATTGAATTTAATTTAGTCTTTCATGACAAAGACATTTACTTAGTATTGATTTTGCCAATCTTTCATAACAGTTTCAGTTTTTTTGTTTTGTGATCAGAAAGTTTGCAGACAACTTTTTATCTGACCTACTCACACTGTTTTGTATGCGAATGACCTTAGGCCCTACTCTCAAAGACACGTTTAGGACGGACACCGCATGTGCATAGAATAACACGCGAAACTGCAAAGAAAACTTTCAAAGATGTTTTTTGCAACTGCATAGCTGAACCACACTGTTCAACATCGAAGAAAGTGATCTTGAAAAGTGCTTTATTTTATTTTGTTGTGTGCTGAGTGGATTGCGTTATAATCATCGTCCTTCAAAGGTTAAGTCTCCGCACGTGTGTTATAAAAGTCTCTGCTGTAGACTCTACTTTAGCACCCCTTCTCACTAGGAAAGTTGTTGAGGGCAATGGCAGGGATAACCGTGACCGAGGACAACAGAAAAGATGAGGTACAGAAAAAGGATCCCCAGTCGAAAGACAGTGGTACTGATTCCACGAAAGAATGCCTAACAAACGGACATGGTGAGGTTTTTATTTGTGCAGCTTTGATAACGTTTTTCATTGACTGTCTGCATGACGACAGAAGAGTTGTTGAGGGAACTTTTTTGCTTTGTTCATGTTGGATGAGTTTTCACAACGCAGGGGCAACATTTCTTCCTGAATGACTTTCAGATTCGTTAGTTCTTGGTTGTTTTTTTAATTATGTGTACTAGATCTAGATCTTAGAAGAGAGTTTTATTAGTTGTCTTCCAACTTTCACCATTGTGGTTTCTTCTGGACTGTCTTTGCAAGTTGTAGAGACTCTTTATGCTAGGCCAGTCTCCTCACAGCTGATTTTGATTTCCCCCAATTTTAGACAGGAAGGAGTAAAACTTGAAATTTATGTTATTTCATTTGTCTTGATCATCTTATCCCTTGGACCCCAAGCTGTTATCGATAACAATGTTGAAGCAGTTTTAGACTCGGTTGTCACAAAGAGACTAAAGATTCTATAATTCAGGAAATCAAAATGAGGTCGCAATTAAATGCTTTCTGAAGAAGCAGAAATGTTGCAATCCATGTGCCTGACCTCAATTTCAAGGTTAAGGTTAGTCATGTTAACCTCCAAAGCATGAACTTTGGACATATATTTTATAGTATTATCATAGGGATTAAGATTGTCGAGTAATTGAATGTAGATGATAGATCTAGAGGCTAGAGGTCTGATCCACAAGACTTAGCCAAAATTTTAGCAATGATATCACATGACATTTGTAGCCTACTTCTAAAACGTATTCTCATCAGTTGAAGCAGCTCATTTTGGTCAACCGCCTTAAAAGTTACTTTTTAAAATTTGTGGCCAGTTAAAATTAAAAGAAATCATAAATTTTAGGCGTGACGGTTTTTCACTCTGTGATTGTAAAGGTGCTTGAGCCTATAAATATGTAACATATATCTAGATCTAGATCTCTAGATCTTCTAGTTAGTGGAAATGAAAGATGACAGAGCACAATGTGTCTAGAAAATAGGAGTCGGGTTTTGAACCCAGGACCTATTAATGAGAGGCGAACACACGATTAAGAGCCGCCCTGCTGGTGGTCTTTCAAATCTAAAAGTTTGGGTGGGGTTTTTTTTCTTTATGAAGTGGCTAGCCGTACTTAAGTACGGCTAGACTGCCAGTCTAGGCCCTATCGACTCAAGCCTGTTAAGTACACAGGTCTCATTAGATCTAGATCTAGATCTAGTAATTATTCAGGTTCAAATACATGCAAGTCAGTAAGGCACCTTTTGGTTTTGTCTGAAATACAAATCCTTTAGGCATTGCAAACTTAAAATTTCATTTACAATTCAGCCATCAATATTAAGTACGGCTAGCCTGACAGTCTAGCCGTCCTTAAGTACGGCTAGCCTGGCTGCCTACCCGTACTTAAGAACGGCTAGACTGCCGGTCTATCCGTACTTACCTAAGGCCCTATTAACATTAGAAAACAGGAGGTTTAAAATACATGCACTGTCATTAAGGCACCTGATTTCATCTCAATAGAGGTACTCCACACTAAAAATTTATATATATTTACAATTCAGTAGGCCTATTTTTTTAAAATGGTCAGTCTAGCCATCATATTTAGAATAAGTACGGCTAGACTGCCAATCTAGATCTCAGACAGGTGTCAGAAATGTAATGCATGTAGGGAGGGTCCATGCGTCCAAATCATCGCTCTCAGACATTGCGTCATGTTTCCTTAGTTCTGGCCCTCATTCCAGTTTCTTTTCTTTGTTCTTTTGAATTTTGTGTGAATATTTCACTGATCTTATGGCTTTCTGCTGTCAGTACTAAAATGTTTAAAGTTCTAGGGGTAAACAACTTTTTTCGGCTGGTCAATGCCACATGCTCCAGGCACCTAGCGTTACCTCATATAATGTATAATTTTTCATTCACGTGCTGGGGCTCTAAATTTTTTATTTTTTTATTTTGTTTGTTTGTTTCCTTTTTAAAAAAATTGTTTATATAGCATAACTTGGGTAGCCTGTAAACCAGTGGTTCTAACGCCAGGGTTTTGGTGAGCCAGTCTCTCAATGATTCAGCAGAGGTGAAGATACACTCACGGTTCATCATATAAATATATATATATTATATGTTTCTGTTCTAATCACCCCACTGGTTTAGGGGATGATGAATGAGAATGATTGCGTTTAAAAATTACTTGTGGGGTTCAGTACCCCCATCAAGGTCAAAAGACGAACCACTGCTAAGTAGTATTATATAGAGAGACTAGATTAGATTCATGTCACAAAAGGAAGAAGGGGTAAGACTCAGCTGGTTGATGTTTCTTCTTTTGTGTTGAAATGTATTGAAAATAAAAAGAGCTTATTAAAAAGCCTCTGCCTCTGGTGGTAATTTCATATTGTGACAGTTTTGTTGCTGGGTACGTGGTTATTTATTCATTTTAAAAATAAAATTTTGCGTGTGTGTGTGCAAGCTGTTTGTGGTGGTTGGAGCTCAGTAGTGTGTGTCTGAGGCTGTGAAATAATCATGTGTGTGTGTAGCTGTAAAATGGAAAGAGGTGTGTTCTGATTGGCCTTGCTCCTAGCCACCTGATTTCATGTAACATTGACCTGGACCCCAGCGTCACGCCTGAGCGGTCGGCTAGTTTATCCCAGCCAAGTTTGTTACGGAGCATGAGGCTCATTTGCTTAATGACTGAGCTCCCAGACATTCTTGAGTGTGCAGTGCCACTGGCATGTTGTGTCTTGCTGCTGCTAGGAGTTGAAGCAATCAATGTGGAAATTTGCCATTCTTAGGCCTTTGTGTAGGACTTACCTGTGTGTTTTAATTTGAGGAACAACTGCAGTTATATTGTATTGTGTGTACACATCTCTGGGTTTGCTTGTTTTGGGGTTGTTTTCTTCTTTACTTTGACATAAAGTTTGTTTTGTAAATTCATTCAACTGTTTTTGTTTTTTGTTGTTTTGTTTTGTTTTTCTTGTTTGTTTGGGGGGGGGGTGTCAAGAGTGGTTGTTTGTACATAGTATAAAATTACAAGAGCAATGCCATTTGTGTATTATATAATATAGTATAGAGTTTGATTAAAAGTCTTTTTTTAAATGTGTATTACAGTATTTGACTATCTTTTTTACCTTGGTTTATTCTTTAAAAGAAGTTTGAATTGACTTGAAAATGCCAAATTTTTTGTTAGTGTTGCTACACCCAAGACATGTCTTCTTTCCATTTTCAGTAGCTAGCTGAAGTTTTTATTTCTGGTATTTCAGTCTCTTTCTGGTCACTTATTATTGCCATATTGTGATTTTACCCCCACCCCCATCCTCTTCAGATTAGGGGGGGTGGTGGGGTTGAGTTTTGGGGATTAAAACAGATAGAGACAATGCCAGGCGGATTCTGTTCCCCGCAGGAGGGAGTTGCTCAGCACCTGTGCCCGGTCTCACTCGTGGCGTTCGGTTTGTAGAGAAACACATACAGGCAGACCACTTTTACTAAACAGTCCTGTGTATGTTTTTTGTATGCGCATGAATTCCATGTCATAGTCAGCAGCCTTGCTTTATAAATTTATAAAATAAAACCTTAATGATGTTTTTTATCAAGTGAGGGAGTTTTGATGAAGAAAGGTAGCACTGCACTGGCCCTGACATATATGTGTGGTCCAAGTCCCCCTTATTTTTGCTACCTTCCTACATGCTACGGTTTATCATACTGTCTTTGTCCTTTGAAAAAAGATGTGGCATGTTAACTGTTTTCTGTGTCTGTTTTGAGGTGAAACTTTTCCTTTTTTTTTATTCTTCCCTTTTTTGACCAAAAATTTTAAGTAGGAACTTTTTCTCCTTTTCAGCCGAAGAGAAAATCATCCTTGATGGCAAAGCTGAGCAAAACTGCTGTGTAGGAGAGAAAGGTCAGTGTACTATGGAAAAGAAAGAAGACAAAGAGGGCGAGACAAAGGAGAATGAAGAGGAAAAAGACAAAGAGGTCCTGCTGATCCAGGACACTGGCTTCAACGTCGTCATCGTGGCCCCGGGCATTGAGCCCTTCGATCTGCCGGTGAGTGATGGGAGCTGATACAACAACCCCTCCAGACACAATGTTAAACCAAAATCATCATTTGCTTGCGTTATTTTGTGGTCTCGATGTCTTACAATAATGTGTCAAGTTTTGTACAGGTTGTTGTGGACTTGCTTCTGAAATAGTTTCTCTTGAGATATAAACAATTTTTAATCTGGTTTAGAATTGTTCGAAATACCCACCTGGCAGGGTACTGTTTTTCTTTATGATATTGTCTATAATAATATATTTGAAATGGTCTAACGATTAACATGTGCCCATGGTTTGGCTTGTGTAGAATCCCTGTAGCTGTGAGGTATTTTTCACAGTTTCTCCCTGTAGTTGTGTGAATTTTCTCACAGTTTCTCCCTGTAGTTGTGTGAATTTTTTCATGGTTTCTGCGTCGTTGTCTGATGTGTCTCACTGTTTCTGCGTCGTTGTCTGATGTGTCTCACGGTTTCTGCGTCATTGTTGTCTCCCCAGGTAAGCTCGATGGAGCTGGTCCAGGAGATCCACCAGGTGCTGATGGACCGGGAGGACACGTGCCACCGGACCTGCTTCTCCCTGCAGCTGGACGGGACCACCATGGACAACTTCTCGGAGCTCAAGGCCATAGAGGGGCTGAAGGAGGGCTCTGTGATTAAAGTTATTGAAGGTACTAATGTTAGTGGGGCACAGCAACGGATTTCCATTTTTGTTTGCTCTCTTACTCGGGTTTGTTTCTTGCTTTTCGGGGTTGGGTTGGCGTCATTCTCTTTGTAATAAAAACAACAACAAGCGGAAGTGCATCTTTCATTTTTCAGCCATTGCGTGTGTCTTGTGTCATTGATGGAGTACAATACTCAAAAATGTGATTTTGATTTAAGTCCTGCCTAACGTACTTTATTATAGTTAAATTCCAGGATAGTTCGTGTATGGTTGTCATGATATTTTTGTTTTGCCCATCGTTTACAAAACATAGTTTTCAGGAATTTTTCAAGTTGTTTTTTTGGTGTTTTTTTCCTCAGAGCCATACACAGTGAGAGAGGCGAGGATACACGTGCGTCATGTACGAGACCTCATGAAGTCTGTGGACCCGGCAGACGCTTACAACGGCGTCGACTGCGCCTCTCTCTCCTTCCTCAACACAATCACCCTGGGCGACATTTTAGGTCAGTGGTCTTTGTGAGTGCCCGTGTCCGTGTTGATGCTGTGCGTAATACTTGATTGTTGGGGCTTAAACGCGAGCTGTTGTACTCATAAGTTTATGCCGTATTCTTCTCTTTAGGTAGTGGCAATTTCTCATGCGGGAAGAGTTTCTAGTGTAAACTGTCTTTGTTTTGCAGTGGTGTATATATGAAAGATTTTTAATTAATGTTTTGTTTGTTTTAAATCTTTACCTGTATAAAAAAGAAAAATGGATGTATAAATTATCTTGAGTGTATGGTACAGATGCAAGATAAACTTTTGATGAGAGTTTAAGAACTATGTACAAGAGCTGACATTTTGGTGGCAGATCTGAGATAAATGAGCCCATGACTGGGTCACCTGGGTGGACTTGTAAGGAATGTCATTCTCTCCCTCAGACAAAAAGCGCAGCAAGCCCGACTCTGTGGACTGTACCCCACCTGAGGCCATCATCCCCAACTCCAAAGACAGACCTCTACTTCCCCTGCACCCCGGCATCAAAGACTTGAAGGTAAACCAGGCGAAAGGGCAATGCTACTGACTGAAGTGTCTTTGGGCCTTTCCCAAAGGGGGGATAGTAACATGTTCTTATCCACAGTAGAAAAGTAAATGGGCTGATTTATCACTGTCATGCTCATACTGTGCCGGAACAACATAGGCGGAACTGATGATTTTTCTTTCCTCATCCTTACTATCATCATTTTTCCTCTACTTCTTTTGTATGTTTGTCACTTTCTTGTGAACTGCTATTTCCGGGGTGCCTTGATAGTCGAAGGAGACTTTGTTCTGTTGAGGCTAGAGAGGTGAGCAGAGTAAGCCTGATTGCCTGTAAGGACTTCTCTGTTGACATCCACCCCTTGGCGCTCATATGACCTTATACAGTTGCGAGCGCCGTAAAACCTTACTAAGTCTAAAACCTAGGAGATGATGAGTGTACTTTTCCAACTGACAATAGATAGCCTCTTGCCCCAGTTATGTAGCTGTTTTCCCCTATTAATAATAAATGGCATTTATATAGCACTTAACCCCAATTAAAGAACACAGGCTCTGAGAGCTATTCAGTGTGTTTCCTTGTTAACCTCATAGTGAAGTGTTTTGTCTGTATTTTGTCCATTTGTGTTGTCTGAAACACTGGTGGTTTGGTTCAAGGAATAATTTCTGTATAGAAGATAAGATAAGATAATACTTAGTTATCGGAGAGGGAAATTTTCCTTGGCTGTACAGGACCGTAAAATTACATGCAGGTATACATAAAAATGAGTATAGCTGTGCCAATTGAATGAGATCCAGCCTTGCTTTATCAGACCAATCAATATACAGTCCTTCTTTTTCTGTGTTCAGGGCTCTCGGTGCTTGAAAGTGCTGACCTACAGCGGCTGGAACCCTCCCCCGGGCAACAGGAGAATGCACGGTCAGTTTTATGTTTGATGACGTTTCCCTACCTGGTGTTTGTGTCTCCTACAATAACTGTGAAGCAATAATGTGTGTATCTTCTTATGTGTATGGTCTTGAAAAGGGGATGTGTCTTTGTGTGTCTGCAAAGATGTTTTATACTATGAGCTGGTTTTGTCTCTGAGTGTGAAATCGAGCACCTTGTATATTTGACTATTAACCGGACTAAGGTTGTCTGAAAATTGAACTTACATTTTGTTTTGTTCAATGCAACTAAGGAACAGAAAGTTATTGGTTCTGTATGACTGTTGACCTGAAGGTGTTTGTTGTATGACTGTTGACCTGGCATGTGGTAGGGGGTGGTTGGCGGATGCTCTGGTGTGGTTTGCTTCTTCTTTCCTATCAAACATCTATCGTCTTTATCTCCTCCCCTCCTTTTTTGTGTTTGTTGCTCTCTTGTAACACCTCTAATCTTCGCCACTTACATGACCTTATTGTGTTGCAAGTGCCGTAAAACTGTTACTAAAAACTAAACCTGCCATGTGGTATTCCCCTCAGGTGACCTACTGTACCTGTACGTGGTGACCTTGGAGGACAAGAGGTACCACGTCACCAGCTGTGCCCGGGGGTTTTACCTCAACCAGTGAGTTCTTTTGGCTTTCGGTTTGTTTTTTTTACAAGACACATATGCATCGGGGGGTTTTACTTCAACCAGTGTGTTCATTTTTGTAGGGTTTTTTTTTGGTTTTTTGGTTTGTTTTTTGGGGGGCTTTTTGCTAGACATACCTGAGATTGAAATTAAGAATACTACCAAGTCTTTTGCTTTTGTTGTACATCCACTTTTGGTTCTCGAGTTTTTGTACAGTTTGAGTATATTTGTTGCTCTGACTCTTGTGTCAAGTGTGCATGCTTTATGTTTGGTCTCTGATTCATTTCAAATTTCTGTGAAACGGAGAATATTTTGTTTTAGTGAAAGTCTAGGAAATAATATTAGACACTGCCCCCTTTTTTTTTCTCCTTGTTGTACCTGTTTTGGTTTGTGTGTCCCCGGAAGCGTGTAGGATGTATGTTTGTCCAGTGAAGGATACAGTTGACAGGTGCTCCTTCTTTCCTATCAAACATCTATCGTCCTCGTCTCTCCTTCTTTTTTGTGTATGTTACTCTCTCGTAACAGCTATAATCTTCGGCACTCATACGACCGTATTAAGTTGCAAGGGCTGTAATACCCGAAGTAAAACTAAACTAAAACACTCAAATAGAGTTATTTAAAAAAATTATGCTTTATAGTTTTTCTCGAGGGGGAAAATGATAACTTGAAAATTTTTTCAGATCGACGGAAGATGAATTCAACCCCAAGCCTTCACAGCCAAAGTATTTGTCTCACTCTCTCATCGACTTGCTCAACCAGGTAACTCTTCTTGTCTGCTGCCTTTTTGTTCCTCAGTGGTTCTGCGGGTGCTCTAGTGTGGTTTGTTCTTTCTTTCACATCAGGGATCTATTGCCCTTATCTCTCCTCCTCCTGTTTTTTTTTTTGTTTTATTGCTCTCCATTGACACCTCTAATTTTTGGCGTTTATGTTTAAAAAAAACATTGAGTTAATGAAAGCAGTTAATAGCTTGTGTTTCCTCATTTCTTTGAAGCTACAGGTCTGTTTTGTGTATGTTGAAGATTTTTTTGGGGAAAATTGTATTCTGTGAGTAAATATAGAGAACATTTATTTTTTTGTGTAAAGAGAGGTGTTGTTTTGGCAAGTAGTCTTTTACCTCAAAGGACAATGTGTTTTGTGTGGGGCCGACAGGTTGTGAAGGGTTTCGCCTCTCTTGGTAAAATAACGGATTACATTTCATTAGTGATACGGACAGAACTTTTCTCATTGGCCCTATTGTGAAATGATTATGTTCCTGATGTATTGAGTTCATGCCTTTGTTTGACTAGCTTGAAAACCAATTGTCAAGAAATGAGTGGAGGAAATTAAGATTGTGCCAATTGTTTTTATTCCAGGCAACCTTTTTGTTCTAGAGACGTGGGTGTTTGGCGGGTGTTCTCATGTTGTTTGCTCCTTCTTTCCTATCAAACATCTATCGTCCTTATCTCTCCTCCTTTGTTGTGTATGTTACTCTCTTGTAACACTTCTATTCTTCGGCACTTACATGACGTTGTTGTGTTGCAAGTGTCGTAAAACAAAAAACTGAGCTCTGTGTCTGTCTGGTTGTTCCTGTAGATCAGCCCGGCCTTCAAGCGTACGTTTTCCCTCCTGCTGAAGAAGCGCGGCCAGAAGCACCCATTTGAGCGAGTCCCCACCCCGTACCAGGTGTACGCGTGGATGGCCCCGCAGCCGGACCACCAGGTGGACTACATCAGGGCGGAGGACGGTGAGTGCGGCACGGGCGTGTCTTTGTTTGCTCGTCTTGGTACAGTTACAGGAAGTCAAAAAAACTGTCGGGATGAGGCTTTGTCTCTTCTGTACAACTACATGCTTAGCTGATCCGTACAACTACATGCTTAGCTGATCCGTACAAGTACATGCTTAGCTGATCCGTACAAGTCGTGCTTAGCTGCTCCGTACAACTACATGCTTAGCTGATCCGTACAAGTCGTGGAATTATGAATGTGCCAAGAGGATAGTATATATGAATTGGTTTCACCGATGTGATCTCTACGAGTTTTGTGTGGGCGGCTCCTCATATTCTCGCTCTATGTGTTTAGATTGGGCGTTGGCTGTGCTTTGAATTAGCTACAAACATTACTGGTAGTTTTGTTTGTTGTCAAATATACTGTTTCTCCTCTATTGACGCTCAATAATGTCACTTTCATAATAAACACAAGTGCTGAAATCTTTTCTTTTGTTCAACTAATAAGATGAATATTTGGAGTGATTTTCTTTTAGTCAGAAAGTTTTTTGTTACTGTTTTACATTGTATTGTATTGTAAAGTGCTCAGAGCCTGTGTACTTTGATCGGGGTTGAACGCTAAATGTCAATTATTATTATTATTGTTATTATGACACCGGGTTAGCTAGTATTTGACCTTTGCTTGTGACCGCTATCTTCAGCCTTCTCCACCCGCCTGGGTTATGAGGAGCACATCCCGGGCCAGACCAGAGACTGGAACGAAGAGATTCAGACGACGCGAGAACTGCCAAAGACCAACCTGCCTGAACGCCTCATCAGGGAGCGTGCCATATTCAAGGTAATGTCCGGCAAACAATTGGTGGTTTTGTAAATTTCTTTTGGTTTTTATAAAAAATTTCTGTGCTGATAGATATTTTTCTGTGTGTATGTATATTCTACACTGAGTAGTCAATGGTGCTTTTGAATGATCTCGGTAGGTGGTTGGAGGGCGTCACTTGTAAGTCCAATTTCTTTAACTTTCCCTTCTGTTGTTTCTGTCTGTCTTACTTTTCCCCAACACTACATGGCCATTATTATGTCGATGTGCTTCTCTTTACTCACACAAACAAACAGACAGAATCGTCTCGTTCAACTACAGCTGTTTCGAGCTCTGATTTTGATCTGTTGATTTGAGTGGTGGCTTGGTGGGTGCTCTGGTGTGGTTTGCTCCTTCTTTCCTATCAAACAACTATCGTCTTTATCTCTCCTCCTTCATTTTTATGTTTGTTGTTCCCTTGTAATACCTTAAATCTTCGGCACTTGTATGACCTTATTGTGTTGCAAGTGCAGTAAAACTCCTAGGGAAAAAAGAAAATGAGTGGTGTCTCATACTCTGATTTTGGTTGTCTCCTCTTCCAGGTGCACAGTGACTTTGTCGCTGCGGCTACCAGGGGAGCCATGGCGGTCATCGACGGCAATGTCATGGCCATCAACCCAGGGGAGGACGCTAAGTACGTTGTCGCCATACTGTCTGCCATAACTGTTTTATATTGTGACAAGGTTACTATTGATCGGGGGGGGGGGGTAAATTGGGGAAGATTTTCAATCAAGTTTCTCCACCTGTGCTGAGATTTTGCATTCCTGATCAGTTCAGTACGATCCTCACAGACTGGGTTGAAGTAAAGAAAGTGGAGCATAAAACATGTACAGTATTTAAAAATTATTTTGACACTTTTTAGTATCATGGGGGAAAAAGGTTACATTTTCATCAGTTTGTCAATGTTGGTGATTTTAGTCTGCAGCTATATTTGAACAGGACTGAGGAACCTAAAGACTTCAAATAACTTGATTGTTTACTGGTCTGGTTTTAATATTTTTTGTTTTCATCTCTTACGACATTCTTTAACATTCTGGGTTTTTTTATTCCCCCCACCAGAATGCAGATGTTCATCTGGAACAACATTTTCTTTAGCCTGGGCTTTGACGTGAAGGACCACTACAAAGACTTTGGGGGAGATGCCGCAGCTTTTGCCGCTCCTGTAAGTAGAATCTTGTCGTAGTTAACCATGGTGGTGGCTGAACTCAAATGTTTTGTTACAATATTTTTTTGAAAAAGCTATTGGTCTCTTTGTAATCAAAGATGAGCCATTTGATGGGTAGCAGGGCCATCTGTTTATGTAAATCAGAATATACAAATATTTTTAAATTCCCATGTTTGATGTTGTATGTGTAAGTTCCCTTTCTTCAGCTCTCATATCTGGCTTGATAATTATTTCCATGTTTGCTGTGATACATGTAAGTTTCCTTTCTTCAGCTCTAATATCTGGCTTGATAATTATTTCCATGTTTGCTGTGATACATGTAAGTTTCCTTTCTTCCTCTCTCTTTTTTGTCATATTTCTGTAAATCCCCTTGGCGGGTACTCTGGTGTGGTTTGCTCCTTCTTTCCTATCAAACATCTATCGTTCTGACCTCCTCTCCTCCTTTTTTATATTAGTTACACCTCTAATCTTCGGCACTTATATGACCATGTAGTGTTGCAAGTGCTGTAAAACTCTTACCAAAACAGACTCCTTAATATAACTGTGCACCCTTTAAATGATTCTGAACCACCGTTAATTTTTTTTCAAATTCGAAAGTTAAGTGGTTCGGAAGCTTTAGGCGACCAAAATCACAAAATTTTACAAATATAATAGATATAGATTTCCATGTTTACTGTTGTACATGGTTTTTTTTCTCTTATTTATTGCATATTTCTCTAAATCTAAATCCCCCCCCCCCCCCCCCCCCCCCCGGAGCAATGACCTCCAGGGTGTGAAGGCTTATGTGACCTTGTAGTCTTGCAAGTGCTGTAAAACTAAATCTAACTAAATCTCCTCCCAGAGCAATGACCTCCAAGGTGTGAAGGCGTACTTCAACATGGACCCTGACGGCCTCTACACTCTGGGCACGGTGGTGGTCGACTATCGCGGATACCGGGTCACGGCACAGTCCATTATTCCTGGTGGGTGGTCCGTTCTTCTGTGTGTGTGGGCTGTGTGTGGGTGTCTCTCTGTACTTTGTGGGGAGCTGGTGTTTAGTATTCTGCATGGGTGATTGGCGGATTCTCTGGTGTGGTTTGCTCCTTCTTTCTTATCAGACTTCTATCGTCCTTATCTTTCCTTCTCCATTTTTTGTGTTTGTTACTCAATCAAAAGGTGTTGTTTAGTATTGTGCGCAGTGCTGTAGCCTGTTCCATGTCAACTTTCATTTCTTTTTTTAAGTTTGATGTTTCTTAGGAATGCTGAATCTTGTGGTGTTGTTTAAAGATGCATTTATTGACATATTGTGGAAGTGTCCAAAGGTAAGGGTTTTACAAAGTATCATTTTTGTCAAGGAAAATAGGCAGAAGAAAATGGGGGTTTCCTAGGGTTAGATTTTGTTAGTATTGGGAATCATCAGTGATATATTTCATGTGGGATTTTTTTTCAAGCACTTCTGACTTTGTGAATACAATTGACACCTTGTTACTGAATGTTGTCCTGCTTTTGGTTGATGACTTAGGCATTCTGGAGAGAGAGCAGGAGCAGTCGGTGGTCTACGGGTCCGTGGACTTTGGGAAGACTGTGGTGTCCAGTGAAAAGTACAGAGAGCTGGTGAGTTCGGAATGTTCACTGTTTCTTGCATTATAGAAATGTAGGTTGTGTGTCCTGTGCTGACAGGGCATTTTGGCTTATGGGGATAATGACAGTTGTAGTAAGTGGCCAGAAATCTTTTGTACTGAAAGTTGTCGTATCAAACTTAATGTCACTATCATGGCTGGACATTTTCTCTGTGTATGCACTCAGCGATGTTCTCACCTCACATGTGTTGGCGTTCAGCGCGCATTCATACACACACCCCACCTCTCTTTTGTTAGACCGTAATTGAATTAAAGGTAATGCGTTGCTGACAAATCTGGCTATATTTATGTTTTATTGCAATTTTTGTGTATATATACATTTCAGGGTGACACCATGTCTTTATTTTTCTTCGTTATATTTGCTTTTTTGTTTTATCAGGATGCTAATCTTTGACTCTCCGGTATCTTTTCTTTTGCAGCTCCAGAAGACAGCTGCAGCCTTGAAGATCCGTCCACACAAGTAAGTCGTTTCTGTGGTGCAGCCACGCTGTCTAGCGCCGTGTTTCTGCACCGTCTCTATAGGACCTGTAATGTTTGATTTTGATAAGCAAGATTTTGTATTTTTTAAAGAGGTCAGTATTTTATCTTGCACTGAACTTTTTTAAAGTTAAATTTGTTGGAATTTTTACTTTATTTCTCTTCCTTAGACTTGAGTGAAATTGATATCAGAAGAATTTTGCTTGTTGGTTGTTTTTAAAAAATCAACTTATAACAGTTCATTTTTTAAAAGAAATGTTCTATTTTTTAGTGCTGCAAAGTCATATATATGGCCCCATTCATATTTTCCTAAAGGACCTACTTTATTTCATAAAAGGTGCTAATAAAAATAACACAGTGATTTATATTCTAAAACTGAAGGTGATTTTCTTTATTCTCAGGGTGCTCAACAGTAAAGAGGAGACCATTGAGCTGTACTCCTCTATAGAATGCAAGGTCGGTGTTGTGGACACTTTTGTCTTGATTTGAAACCCTTCAACGTTGTGTATGGGAATGGGCAGAGTAGGTGGTTGGCGGGTGCTCTGGTGTCGTTTGCTTCTTCTTTCCTATAAAACATCAGCTGTCTTTGTCTCTCCCCCTTTTTCGTGTTTTTTGCTCTCTTGTAACACCTCTAATTTTCGGCACTTATATGACCTTATTGTTTCACGTGCCGTAAAACACTTACTAAACAAGAATGGGCAGATTTGTTTTGTCAATGCTGCTACTGTTATGTCTGTGCTCTTGCATGACTGACTTATATATCTAAAGCTTTGTTTACATTTATTTGTTGGTGGGTGCTCTGGTGTGGATTGCTTCTTCTTTCCTATCGAACATCTATCGTCCTTATCTCCCCTTTTATGTTTGTTACTCTCTTGTAACACCTCTAATCTTCTGACGCTCATATGACCTTATGCAGTTGCAAATGCCGTAAAACCTGTACTAAAACAAACAACCCCCTCTGGGAAAAAATGTAAGTGCATTTGGTACACACGTTGCGTTCATGTTTTAAAAAAAGTTTGGTTGATATTGCCGGTAGTGGCTAAGGAGAAAAAGTTGTCCTTGAATAAAGTTGTTACAATTTATCTTTTTCCTTTTCAGGGAATTGTTGGAAATGATCAGAGGCATTATATTCTTGATCTCTTGAGGACTTTCCCTCCCGATGCAAATTATCTTCCAGGTAAGTTTGTTGGCTGTCAGTTTTTATTTTTAAAACTTCTGTGTTATGCAGTTTTGTTTTTCAGCAATTATGTGACCTTATGGGTGCGTTGCAAGTGCTGTAAAACTCCCATTAAACCTGAAACTAAACAAGTGCTGTAAAACTCCCATTGAACGTGAAACTAAACAAGTGCTGTAAAACTCCCATTGAACGTGAAACTAAACAAGTGCTGTAAAACTCCCATTGAACGGGAAACTAAACAAGTGCTGTACAATTCTCATTAAAGCTAATAATAGTCCTCCTGACTTTTGTTTTTTCAACCAAGATTATCGCACTCAATTCTTGTGTGTAATTCATGAAAGGATGAGTGACTCTGAGAAGTCATTTGATTTTTTGTTTGCTAAGTTTTCGGAGTGCATTTAAAAAAAAATTATGTGTCTTTCCTTTGATGCGCCAACACTTGTTGAATGTGTCTGAGACTTTTCTATCTAACATCTATCGTCTTTATCTCCACTCCTTCTTTTGTGTTTGTTAATCTCTTGTATCACATCTAATCTTCTGCACTTATATGATCTTATTGTGTTGCTTGTGCCGTAAAAATCTTACTAGAACTAAACTGAGAGGAAAGTTAATTGTTTGACAGAAAGTTTGATGTTTGCTGACGATGTCCATGTCTCTCTCTCTCCTTGTTGGTGGTTGGCGGGTGCTCTGCTGTGGTTTGCTCCTTTTTTCCTATCCAACATCTATCGTCTTTACCTCCCCTCCTTCTTTTTCGTGTTTGTTACTCTCTTGTAACGTCTCTATTCTTCGGCACTTATATGACCTTATTGTGTTGCAAGTGCCGTAAAACGCTTACTAAAACTATCCACATCTCTTTGAAACGTTCCCAGTGGAAGGAGAGGAGCTGGCAGAGTTCATGAAGAACCACGGCTACCCCAAGAATCACCGCCACAAGCTGCCCTGTCTGAGGCAGGAGCTCATCGAGGCATTCATTGAGTGAGTGCAAACTTTTTCTCTCTTCTATGCTTTCCTTTCTTTCTTTTTTTATTTCTTTCTGTGAGTTTTTGTGTTTGATTTTGTTGTTTTGGTTTTTTTTGGTGGAGTTTTTTTAATGTCCCACGTCCCTTTTTCAGGTGCCATGTTTGTGGTTTCATTTGTATCAGACAATCGTTGACTATGAAAATGTGAGAGAGTAGGTAAAATGATATTTCAGTACTTAAGTGAAACAATAAGAGAATATCAGTCACAAAGATTAAATCTAAAAGTGTTTGATAAGATTATTCATCTGTGGGTTAGGTTTTTTAAAAGCTTTTGTCGCCTACTTCAACTCCTCCACAATGGATGGCCATCTTGGACAATTTCTAGCTTCAGCATCTATTTACTGGAACATTGAATAAATTTTCTTTGTGGTTGCCAAATTCCATTCTGGTTTCATTTGGGGGAGAGAGCATTGTCTTGTATGTAGATGCTGTAAAACATACTGATATCAAGAAGCGGGTAAATTTAGTCGATTTCAATGTGCAGCTATCCGTTTGTCCCCAGGAGCCGATACCTCGCTTTTGTGAAGCACGCGGCTCTCCATTTCCAGACTCTGCAGAAACAGCCCAAGAAAACAGAGGTATGTCGCCCATTTGGCCGTGGGGAGATGGTGTTCCTGTGTTGCCTGTAGGGAGGGGGGGGGTG